TTTTCATTCAGGGAGCTTAGTAAGCTACTTGGGGAAAAAAAAAAATCATAATTGTCAGAACATAAAAAGCAGCACTGACCCTAGAGTTCTTTGCTTAAGCTTCTGCATCAGTATTTTCCTTCCAGGTTTAATATTGAACCAACCAGGCAGTACTTAGGGACTTAGCTGCAACTAACGTTTGCTTTATACTTACCCCAAGCCACAGTGCTTGGTATTTAAAACAGGCTGACACTGAAAATTCATTTAAAGGTCCACTGCACTCATTACATGTTTTCACAAATAACTCACTGATTTAAGTAATTGAAAACATACAAACCCCCCCCCGAGAACAAACAGTAATCTCACATGCCATCTGCACAAGACATACATAACAATATAATCCACCTTCTATTTCCAAATTTAAAGGTGTGAACTTACAAACACTCACACACAAGCAGAGACTTGAAACAATCATTTTTCAATCCCAGCTGTAGTAAAACAATGCTATTCATTTATCCCTTAGAAAAAAACATGGGAAAAATAGTTTTGAATAGTCTCAGTTTCTCAGCTATATATCAACAGCATTAATCTTAACATATTTTGAACCAAGCAATTTAATTAATAAAACTGGCAAAAGCCTGTCTGTTATTGCTATTTAAAATAGCAATATTTGTGCTTTGTAAAGCACAAAAAAGTTTTATTGCTCCTTTAGTTGTTTAAGGAATGTTGATGTAGTATGCCAAAATATTTACACATCACTTTATCAATATCTTGATTCCTGAATAAAACTTACTTATTAACCACACATAAGACCTTCCATGAATAAATGACGATGCACTTTTTCCTAGTTTTTTGGAGTTGTTTTGTTGGGGTTTTTTTTGAGGGGGAATATTCTTGCTCCCATGGTTTAATTTCCCAGCATTTCTAAGTTTCTTCCCAAAGAATATTTCTTCCTTTCAAGCTCATAGCCTGAGATACCTAAGATATGCAGAAATTGTTCAATAGTACAAAAATTCGAGTCAAAGAGATAATATTCCGGTCAAGATAAAAATCACTGTAGCATCAAAACAAGTTTTGATGTTATTCCTAAAAGTTTTGATTGCCCCCCAGTACTAAGCACTATTATGTCAAAATACTTTATCAATAATTGAATATTTACATATATGATGCACTAGAACAAAGGTAAAATTGATGTTCACTACCATTTGGTAGTGGACATGTAAGATAAAATTGATGTCCACTGTTTTGCTATCAAAAAATAATAAATATCTTAGAAGATTTTAAGGAGCAGCAAAATTTTGACTGCCATCCCAATAAAAGGAGGGTATGAACAAACACTATGTATATTTTATGATTATTAAGCTGTAAGAACCATCAATTAATTGTTACTCTCCTTATGAGTGTTTTAATGGGTTCTGAGCAGGGGAAGGCTTTTTTTCTTGCTGGTAGCTGCCCAAACGTATTCAAAATGATGTCATCATGTTCAATACACATTACTGCCAACCTGACACTTTAATCAACTCTTCAATGTTAATCGAGTAGTGACATGTGGAAGCAATATTTCAATTTCTGATTTAGAGGAAGTAAAGCAGGAGTAACCACACACAAAAAAAGCAGTCCTTGTTTGTGTGCTTTGCCTAACACCTTTCCTAAAACTGTAACACAAGTACAGACTTACATCTGGAGCAACCATTGTAGCAGATGGTGCATTACGCATCTCAGACAGCGAGGGCAATGTGTGGTGGTATCCCCTAGGCAGATTAACCTCACTTGCCTTGTGCTGAGGATTTCCTCTTACTCCTGGCCTGCAGTTCCCATATTCTACTTAGGGATTAGCAGGGTACAGTTTTAGTGGGGATTTAGAAATAAGACTTCTGTTATTACTAATAGGAGATGCATGACTAATTCCCAGTGCACGTGGTGGAAAGACAACCTGAGGGTCTGTTCTGTTTTCAGCAGCAGATTGATTTTATTTCAAAACCTAAATGGAACTCTTCAAAAATACTGAATTAAAAGCCTGATTTGGGTCTATTTTATTGGGATTGCCCTCTCCTGCAGTGGGACTGTAATCCTCAGAAACGGGCAAATAAATTAACTCCCTAGACTCTTCCCTGTCTCTCCTAAGGTTTTGGCACCAGATACAGAGGAGAGAAAGCAAAAATAACTTTCATAATATTTCTTTCTGCAATCAAATAAACCACAAAGTAATAACGTGGATGTAGTGAATGGATATTTTGTAATGATTTGTCACGTATTTCTATAGTGAAATAAAAGGGACTACTTCACAAGTAACTCATCACTGAATTTCAAAATAAGCAAATCACTGTATATGTAGGAAGCAGAAGAATATTTTATAGCACATGCTATTTTGTCAGGTTTAAATAGGTGGCACACCATTAGAGAGTTACTGGCTAAACCAGTGTCCCAGTTTCAAAGGGCTAACTGGAGGCTGGATCCACACATTCAGAATTTCATATGACAGAAATTCAATATTTGATTCATATTTTAAAAATCATAACTAATTACTGCAATAAAAATGAAACCTGAACACGGAAGAAAGATTGCCATGGATAACATATTGTTTAAAAGTCAGTGAATCTCAAATTCCTAGCTTCATACAGCAAAAAGTAATTAACATGACAAAGCACAATCAACAGATCCAAGTGAAAATTCAGATTTAGGAACATGCATGGCTCTAACTGTAATTGTCCCTTTCCCCTAGAGACAACAACCTGCTACTTTAAGAGGCAATAGAAGTGAAAACCAATCTCAAGGAAGAGTAGGCAGGTCAAATATCTAGTCACTGAAACCTGTTCTGTGTGATCCAAAGAGCAATTCTTTGTTTCTCTTGGCATCCTACAAAACATATACAATAAAGAGGGGGGAGGGGGGAATTAAATCTGCTTTCCAAGGTGTAATTCAGTACAGCAAAATTGGCGTCCAAACAATAAAAAGTTGTAAACTGTGTCTCATCCACTGTTTCTCAGAAGGATTTGTTGTAATATCTGTTTTGTAAATGTTCACTATCAGACTGTGATGTAGTGAAGGAATTGCAGATTTATTGCAAACTATTTTCAAAGTGTACAACTGTTCCCTACTATAGTGGGCACTGAAACCTCTATCAAGAAATGACAGTTTAGCTTATGTGAACAGGAAGAAAAATGACAACAGTGTTCAAGATCCATTATCACTCTTTCTAGGGTTATAAAAATTGCTTGCAGATGATATTGCTTGTGAAAAGAAAACTAAACTCTAGGTTTGGAAATCTGTTGGTGAATGACTACATTCTAATTGCTCACTGTGTTTCAGACAACACATGAACTTTGTTACTGTAAAATAAACCTAGTGACGATATTGTGTTTATTGATATGAAATCTGTGATTTTTAGGTATTCTCAAGCTGTTATCTCTGAAAACACCATCTGTAACCAAAAGTTACCCAGCTACCCAACAAGAGGATTTTGCTGACACAGAATTACAGTATTCTCTGTAATTTTCCAGGCTTCCACATCTCTGGTAATTAATATGATAGCCAGACCCAAAGAATCATGAATTTCTCATGAACCATATATGTTGCACATGCAGTTACATCTCTCAAAAAATGTACATTTCTGTCCGTTATCATCATTTTATTAGATACTAAAGTTGTACCTTTCCTAATGAAGTCATAGCTTGTCTTCATTTTTAGGTTAACGGGCTGTACAGTAACATTACCTAGCATGTATTTTTAAGGGACATGTGTCCTTAGGAATACCGTCTAAAATGTTAAATTCAACACAACAAAACATTTTACATACTGTTTTGATTACAATCTTATAGCAAAGTTCACATGGTGTTTATAAATATCCTAATGCTTGGAGGCAAGTTTTCATAACATTTTAACAGCAAAGTATCACTACTCTTCAAACAAAAGCAAAGGAAATGGCCTGTCTCTTCCGTGTAATCCTGCAATTAAGGCGCAATTTAGTACTTATTAAAGCCAGAATCCCAGAATAATCCTCTAGGTCTGGCAGTCAAGCACACCATATAAGAATATGAGCTACTATGATTCTTTCCCCCATCATACCACATTTATAAAAGCTCCCATCATACTGACATTTCCATTTTCATCCCTGTGTCATTTATAAAAGCTGCACGAAACCGTGGCCATGAATTTTAAAGAGCTCAGGTCACATTAGGGTCTCTTTCCTCTTGATGAGATTTTGGAAGAGGAGAAAGACTGCATACTTGAAATTAGGATCCTAAATAAAAAAAAAAACCCACCTTAATAATATGGATCTTATTTCATTTTTCTTCCCCATTTTTAAAAAATGCAGCCATTTTGAATGCTGAAATGTCTTTTTATTGGATAATGATTTTTTTCTTGATGATGAGCACAGAAAAAGGAAGTTATTTTCATCTTGAAAGATAACTTAAATACTTAATTTTGAAATACAGTTAAAGATTCCTCAGCAGTATATGCATATATTTATATATTATTTTTCACATAGCTTAGAAAGAATTTATTCAGATTCTCTGCTAAAGTCTGTTACTGCAATTCTGGAACTGCACTGCATGCAATATAAGTACTACTGTCTCACACAGCATGTTATTAGCCTGAACTGTATGTGCTTTTGGGATACTCAAAAATGTTTTCAGTACTCATCTCTGCCTGAGGCCAAAACCATGTAAAGAAGAGCTGTCAAGAATTGTTCGTATTAAATGAGAACAGAGCATAGAGAAAGAATGGATAAGAAAATTAGGATATGTAAGAGTTTTCTTTCACCTCCAGTTCCATTTCTGAAACTCAGATCCAATCCTAATGGATCTCTTTAACTATGGCTCTTACTAATACATAAGATAAATCATATGCCTAATAGAGCACATATCCGAAGTACTATTGAAAGAAAAAGAGACAATATCAGCAAATCTGTACTAAAAATTGAGATGAAAATTGTGCTTGGAGTTATTTGTTTTTAAGAATGGGACCCAAATAATAAGCTTACTATTAAAATAAAATCACTTTGTTCACATGCTACTTACAGCCTTCATAAATATCTGTTGGTATGTGGACTGCTGCATGTTGGTAAGATGTTTGCCGCCGGAAAACAGGATCTTCTTCAAATACTGGTCTGATTCTCTGGCTGCCAGATTCAGTGTCATTCTTTTCAGGCTTTTTAAAGAAAGACATGCAAAGGGCAAAATATTACAAAGTATGCTAAAAACATTTCCATTCACATTTGCCTCTTTTTACATAACAGACTCATAGCCTTTCTTTCTTAGCTAACATTTTGCATTATACCTTATACATATATACAACATTATACATTGTGTATAAACACACTTTTTTGCTCCAGGTCCAGAAATATTTGTGTATACTTTATTTTGAATTATGAGGTACCTAGTGCAACTCAGTGAAATGAAAAGCTGCAAAAGAAAAGTGAGAGCCTAACACACACCTAAATTTCATAAGTGCATGGAATTTTTATACCCATAATGCAAGGTAAATACTTTACCTTCTACTACGTGTAATAATTTGTACCGAATCTTAAATATAAATACTGTATAACTCATTTTTTCCTTCTGCAGATTATATAGTAAATCACAAATCTCAAAATGATACCACTAATATACATTTCGTAAATAGATTTTTGAGAAACACTGGTGCACATCCAGACAAAGAAAGGAAATGAAGCCTTCTTAGAACTTCTGATTGACATAGGTTTTCTCATTAGTTTATCTTAATAATAAGTCTCGATTAAATCTCCTGTACTCTCCTGGCTACAGCTTCCTGGGTGGAAAGATTTCCAAACACTCAGGTGCTCACCACCGCCTGCCTGCCTTGGGTCCCCATCCTCCCTCACCTGTCTGCACCCTGGCTTCTTGATTCCTTCCAATTCACCCAGTCATTTGGACTAGTTTTTAAAAATTGTGAAAAGCAGAGGCTTTTTCTAACTCAGCTACAAAAATTGCATGAAGTGTGGAAACCAAGGAGGTAGTGCAGGCCAAAGGGGAGGTTGCAATGTCTTCACGTGGCTCAGCTGCAGCTGGAACAGGAGGCCCCATGGCATGAGTAGACTGCCGCTCAAATCAATAATGAATCAACTATGATACCGAATGATTACTCAGGCCAGCAATTGTAGGCAATTATAAGGATATTTTTAATACTACAGAGTCGTCAGTTTTTGAAAATGTGTTATGCTTGAAAAATAGTGCTGACAAAGAAGCACCTGTCTGGTCAGTCAGGCATGTGTGTGCTGAGGCTATTCTTTATATACTACCACTGTGTCTATTACCCCCTATCAAAGTATAGACAGCTAAATTTTAACTTACCCACAAAGTAACCTAATTAAACTGCATATGTTTCCTCAACTGCTTCATCACAGGGTTATGGACAAATGTTATACTAAGTATAGGTTCAAATGTTGCCTGAAGTAAGCAGTGGTCTCAGATGGGTTTCAAGGAGGCGGTTTTGTTCAGAAACACAAAGGGCAGAACTCAATTAACCAGTGACATCCACTGAATTCAACAACATAGCAGTGTTGAGCTCATCACCCCAGGCTGCCTTCATAGTCAATGAAGAGAAATGGGCATTTTTAGAGTGCAATTCATCTCATCTCAATTAGACACCTATTCTCCCATGACATGAATCATGCCTTAGAAGTGCCTCCTTCTTTCCATTGACTATAAAGATAGCCCTAGGGCAATTCGCCTAGACAGAGAAGTCGCAATGCAGCTGTCTAGAATTAGGTGAGATGAATCTCACAATACAAGTCTATTAAACTTCTGGAAGAAAAGAAGGTGGGTACTAATTTTGACTACTTTTATGCAGCATAGCTACTGTATCTTCTGCTAAGAAGTTGAACTTGTTACTTAGTACTTAACCCTGCTCTGGTGGATGAGACAGAAAGGAAAGCACAACTCCTAATACTCAAAGTAAGGGATGATCTTTTTTCTTTAAGCAAACCTACCACCAGGTAAAGTCCAGGTATATCATGGCATTAAATAATCTAAATTGATAAAATGTGTAAATGACCTAAAAACATTCTTCTCCTTGGAACACCTAAGACCACATGGTGCCTTTTACTTTCACGTGTGTGGTATTATTTTCATTAATAGTTCTAGTGGACACAATGACCTGCTGTTAGGGACATTGCCAGAGGCTTCTGAATATCATACTTTTGCACTGAGATGCTTCTAAGACAGTAATGTTTTCATTTTGGAATGTGGATAAGAAAAGCAGGCAGTACTTGTATAATGCAGCCTGAAATGCTATGATCCAGTATGCCACTCTCTTAAATCTACCAGAAAGTAAAACCATTTATCGGGTCTGGCTGGGATGGAGTTCATTTTCCCCATAGCAGCCCTCATAATGCTGTGCTTTCTACTGGTAGCTAGAAAGGTGTTGATAACACACCAGTGTTTTGGCTACTGCTGAGCAGTGCTCGCACAGCATCAAGGCTGTGTCTCCAACGTTCCCCTCTCACCAGTAGGCTTGGGGTGGGCAAGAAGGAAAGGCTGTGGATGTGGTCTACCTGGACTTCAGTAAGGCCTTTGACACCGTCTCCCACAGCATTCTCCTCAAGAAGCTGGTGGCTCACGGCTTAGACAGGTGTACTCTGCGCTGGGTCAAAAACTGGCTGGATGTCCAGGCCCAGAGAGTTGTGGTGAATGGAGTTCAATCCAGTTGGCGGCTGGTCACGAGCGGTGTTCCCCAGGGCTCAGTACTGGGGCCGGTCTTGTTCAATATCTTTCTCAA